TAGGAAGAGAATTCCTCTTTTGCAGATGAAAATTGTCTGAACGTCTGATTTTCAGACTGGATTTTTCGACTTCATTTGATTTGCCAGACAAGAAATAAAATTTGTCTGATTTGCTTAGACACGATTTGATAATTTGTCTGATTGTTGTACTAGTGTTTCTATGTTGTCTGAATCGACTAATATGGGTTGCATCCCCTCCCCAATAAGCCGCGATCGGTTGTCCCCATGTGTTGTGACTGGACACTTAGTTTTTAGCGAAGTGTCCCAACCGATCACTATTCTCCCTCTGTTTCCACCTATTGTCTCTTCAGCTTTGCAAAACTGTTTCACTACCGAGAGAAACAAATCGGCCCTTAGAAATGGTGGCGAGACTAAGGGAACGCCAGCTGTAAGGAATTAGTTATTCCTTACTGAGGCTTGCTACAGGGCGTACGACTCGAACAGTCCCGAACCAGCGATAGGTTTCGAGACCTTTCAGTTTGAGCCTCCTGGGCCTTTCCGGACCTCGCTTCGACACATCGAGGCCCTTTGACACTTTTCCCGATCCTTCTGATCCTACGTTTTGGATCGCCCTGGGTTTCCTATATATTGTGCTGTCTTTCATTTTATTGTGATTCACTCGTTCGCAGTTTCGCCATTGCCCTCCGCCCTACTTGGCAGTTCCATTCATAACACCAGCTCAGGGAATCGAGTAACAATATCTGAACTGTTTAGAAAAGAAGATACGAATTCATCATATTGTAACTTCTACTATGGTTTGAAGTTTAGACAAACTTATTGGTTTTGTCTGAAATTCAGACAAGTGTAAAAAATTTCAGACAAAACGAAAAACACGTGTCTGATGTCTCAGACAAGGGATTTTTTAAAAGTGGACCCTGAAGAGGAGGGGGGATGCATGTGCAATGTGTTGTCCCCTCGGCAATCGAGGCGACGACATCAGCGGCGAGTCGCAGCGGCGGCGGCGGCGGCAGGGCCTGCAGCACCTACGGCGGCGGTGACGGTGCCCGAGGCACCTGGCGACGTGGCACACACTGTGATGATGGGGAGGTGGACGGCACGAGACCGCCAGCAGCTGCGGTGGGGAGGAGAGGAAAATGCAGAGGAGGGGGGCGAGTCTTCAGCGAGGCACCGTGGCTGGCGCGGCGCTGGCTGGCGTGCGGGCGAGCTGGCCGGCGCAAAAAATGTGTGCTGGCCACGGCCGTCCGCGCACTGGCGCATCGAAGCCGCCGCGGTAGAACAACGAGGCCATCACGCGTCGAGGCCGCCATGGCAGCAGAATGTGGCCACCATGGCAGCACGTCAAAGTCACTGTGGCAACGCAGCGAAGCCGCCACGGCTGCTCGACGAGGTCGCCGCGGCAGCGCGACGAGGTCGCCACGGCAGCGCGGCGATGTCGCCGCGGCAGCGCTGCGAGGCCGCCACGGTGGCGCGAATGTGACAGGAGGGGAAAGAGTATGTTGCGGAAGCATGATGGCAGCAGGATCTTCCTGCTTTGAAACCACGTTGAAAGGAGTCTAGGAGCTAGCTAGGCATGAGAAATGTCGAGGTTTTAGCTAGGGAGAAAATTTGATGAGAGATAAGAGAGTTTGGACTAGACAGAGGGGTACAAGAAGGGTGTTCTACTCTCTACAGTATAATTCAGTATTGTAACACACCTAACTTACCAAACCTACACAACTATATATAAATAATATATATAAGTTGACATCAACGACAAATTATGAGACCTATAGTGATGAAATATCGACTGCAGAAAGGTTAGATATGGTCAACGCCGGAACACGATGGTCCCACGACCGCAGTAAGTGACAAGGCGACCGCTCGGCACTCCCCACGTTCGCCGAAGCGATAGAAAACGACAGGTTCGACGGGCGGCCACGTAAAAAAAACGTGAGCTCTACTTGTGATTTTTAAGGAGTGCCAGGAATCTTCGACTATAACAAAATGAAGCTCGCATGTGCAGAGTATCGAGCGCGCAATAGTTGCAAGAATCCATTGGCCAATCAAAAGAAAAACAAGAGGCGACGCAATCGTCGTAGGGGTGCAGAGCTTATTTATTTTGGATAGGCTTATGCTACTTATCAAAATTCAAAGTGTGGGTATACCGTTTAATGGCGCTGACTTCTACTCTTGGAGTTTCGAGTTCGGGCTTCTCACGAAATCCGCTGGATTATGACCGTTCTTCAGTGGCGATTACTCGTATCTTGTTACGGGAACACAGATGGAACAACAGAGTTTTCTTCATGCTTCACTCAGCGCTTACACCGTCCTTATCTGCAATCTGTTGCTGAAAGAGCAGCTTGGTATACGCTCCCTTCACACCAGTTTGACTCCAGCAGAATCTGCGTGGAAGCATCTGAAGGGATTATATATGGCACAGGACACAATTTCCGTGAGTAAAATTCTCTCACAACTGACAACAATACAGATGCAGGGCAACGGGAACGTTTCGGATTACATCTACAGGGCTTGAAAACTTCGTGACCAATTGGAAAAATGCAGTGCATACTTCCCAAAATACATGTTTGTAATAGTTCTTCTTGCCGGCATTGGAGCAGAATGGCGGTAGTGTCGATCTCTTCTTCGTCTTCAACCAAATCTTTCGGAAGCAGAAATTTGCTCGATCCTTCAAGTAGAGCAGCAGGATCTTGACCTGCAGAGCACGAACAAAAAGGGAGCAGTTAACATCAGCTTCTACTCAACACCTACAAAACGTGTCAATAAGTTCTTCTGTCACTACTGCAAAAGGGATGGACACAGCATCAAATGTTGCAGCAAGCTTCAAGCTGATAGGAAAAGAGGAGTGCAGCAGCAGTCGCAGCAGTTCAAGCAACCCGTGAAGCAGAATTCACCAACAACAACTCCTGCAACATCAGGAAAACAGGTTTTAGCTGTGTTACAACAGTTCATGCAACAGATTCAGATTTCGAAGATGAGGAAGACGAAAACTCCAACGAGCAACCTGAGAACATGATTTTACCTCAAGTATATGCTAATCTCGCTCGGGCTATCTCAGGACCAAACTCTTGGTATCTTGACAGTTATTGCGGACAACACATGTGCTCTACCGAGACACTCTTCATTACTCAGCAGCGTCCGCTTCGACGTCCAGTACCAGTACCTGTCACAATTGCAAATGGACAAACAATTATGGCAAGGTCAATCGGCAGCGTCATGTTGGATTCCGTTGATACCGGTTTTTCCTTACAGGTTACGAATGTCCTTATCATCGCTGGACTTGGCTTTTATCTTCTTTCAACGGCTCAACTCCTGCGACATAAGATCACGACACAAGGGAATTGTGAGACAATGGACCAGGAACTTTACCACAATGATACTAATACTTACATCGGGAGAGCCGCCACTCAGTATGGGGTCTCCATTCTTCAATTCGAGTCGCAAGGGACTTCTAGATCTTCTGACAGAGTGTTACAGTGACAGAAAAAATTGTCCACATGTTCAGTCTTTTTTTCCATTTTGATGAGTGCAGCGGCGTAAACATTAGGCCTTAATTTATGATATGCATATTTAGCGCGTGGAGAAGATTATTTAGAGCACTCATTCAAGTTGACAAACACCAGAGTAGTATAACACATGGTCCTTAAACACCTAAGCATATCATAAGAGCACATCCGGACAATTTGTACCGAGAACAGACAGCAAACTAGATTCTTGAAAAACTAGTACCTAGTCCAGCGTCCCTTTGCGCGAATCACTGCCTTGATCCTCCTCGGCATACTGTCGATGAGGTTTGAACACACCTCCGCCGATATCTTGTCCCATTCCTCCTGCACCCTCTCTCACAGCTCCACCATTCCACTAGGTGGTTTTTCGTATGCCGCCAGCTGCCTTTTCAAGTGTGCCCACAGTTGCTCTATCGGGTTAAGGTCCGGGGAGGACGAGGGCCATTCCAGCACCGCGTACTCCTGCTCCCCAAGCCAGTCTTGGACCAGACGGGACCTGTGCTTGGGATCATTGTCGTGCTAGAAAATCACCTCTGAGGGGGGGAGCTTAAAAAAATCGATGGTCTGTTTGAGCTCATCTTGCAAGATGCTGCGATACAACGGCCCATCCATCATGCCATCTATCTTGCACATGAACCCCGCCCCCTCATACGTCATGCAACCCCACACCATCACAGAACCGCCCCCATGCTTAACTGTCTGTTGGACTTGATGGCTCTGGAGGCTGGTGCCCTCGCGAATCCAGGCGTACGCACGTCTGTCGGAGCAGTAACGGTTTATCTTAGTCTCATCAGACCAAATCACCCGCTTCCAGTCCTCCAGCGTCCAGTCGGCATGCGACCTCGCGAAATCGAGACGATCACGTATGTTTTTCGGTGAGAGCCTGGATTTCTTGGGCTGCTGCACGGCGATCAAGCCCGCGGATCGTAATGAGTTCCTGACCGTCTTCGAGCCTACAGCCAGACCGTGCTTCTCCTGCAACATCTTTGCGGCGTCTACACTGCTTTTCGCCTCGCCGCTTGTAATCGCTCGAACTATTTCGCGCTGAAGTCGGGTTGAGATTAAGCGGGGGCGACCGGCCATGGGCATCGAGGGTCGCACCTCATCGAGACTAGTCTCGGCAATCACCTTCAAACCGTAATCGTGCACGGTGCTCTTGCCTGTGCCAAGAACTTTGGCTATTTTACTAGGCGAATGCCCTTTGCGCAACATGCTTATGATTCGCGCGTGCTTCTTGTCATCTACCGGCTTCATGGCGATGCGGTCGTAGGTTCACTTCAGGACTAACTCCTAAACTAGCAGCTGTTGCGCGTGACGATCTAAACATCGAGTGACGGGCGAAAATAGATCTAGTCTGTCGCTCGGTATGAACTGTCCGCATCGACAGCTGAGGAGTAAATCTCAACCCCGCTTTCCGGTTGTGTCACGATCGTGCCAAGCAAGAAACGGTTGAAGCTTAACTCGAAAACCTTGTAACAGGATTTCCGTTATAACTGCTGTTGTTGGCAAACTCAAAGCTCCAGGAGTAGAAGTCGACTCCGTTAAAAGGTATAGTGGTTTTTATCTGTGTGCTGTTAAGTAAATTTGGAGGCTGAAAAATAATACCCGGCTGTTGCTGTTGTTGCTGTTGCTGCTGTTGTTGTTGTTGTTGTTGCTGCTGTTGCTGTTGTTGCTGTTGCTGTTGTTGCTGTTGCTGCTGATGATATTGCTGTTGTTGCTGTTGCTGAGCAGGAGAACGACTGCGGCTGCTGTACAGAAGGTAAGAAAGTGAACGAACTAATACTGGGAGCTGTGACTCCACGCATATAACTTGAGCCGTCAAGGCTCATTCCACTGAACGCTGACGATATTGATTGCGTTGAAACTGATGGTTGTACTGACGCTTGATGCTGTGCTGTTGTCTGTGACTGTTGTTGTTGCGCTGCAGGTGCAGTCGAAGAAACACCTGGAGTGTTAACAGAAGGCGGATTTTGCTGTTGCATACCGATGTGAGCATATGCTGGTGGAAACGGCCCAGAGGCTAAGAGACCAGTGGCGGTAGTGGAGACATGTACTCCAGTAGTTCCGGAAGTTGATCCGCCAGACAGTGCTGGGCGGCACAGCGGCGTGGTGGCATGACTCTCCGGTGAGAAGACCGGGCAGGAGGCCGAGGAGGGCCCGAGGCGCGCAGGGCCCGAGACGCGCAGAGCCAGCAGGGTGCAAAGGGTCGGCGGGGCGCTGGGGACAGGTGGCGCACGAGGGCCATTGGGCACTTAAGGAGCCAATGGGGCGGCTAGGTCCGGCGGAGCGCAAAGGGCCGGCGAGGCGCTAAGGGGCCGGCGAGGCGTGAATGGCCGGCGGGCACGGGAGGGGCCGGCGAGGAACGTGAGGAGCTGGCGGGAGCGCGAGGGGCCAGCGAGCGCGAAGGGCCGGCGAGGCGTGCGAGGGGCCGGGCAGGTGCGCGAGGGGCCGGCAGGGTACGCGAGGGGTCCGGCGAGTTTCTTTCATGCGCATAGGAGTCCCCCGCACGCGTAGTGGGTTTCGCAAGGGCCCGAGGACCACTCACAAGGGCGAACTAGAGATTCATGGCAGGCTGCGAGACTGCTACGAGCCTCCCGCTTTCCGCTTTCGAACTCCCGCTGCATCCCGCCTCCCGCTTCCCGCGTTTCGTTGTCTTCCGCTTCCCAATTCCCGCGTTTTGCTGTCTTCCGCTTCTCGATTCCCGCCTCCCGCTCCCCGCTTCCCGTGTTTCGCTGCCTCCTGCTTCCCGCTTATCGCCTTCCGCCTGCTGCCTCTGGCTTTCCGGTTCCCGCGTCTCGCTGCCTCCCCGCTCCCCGCTTCCCGCTCCCCGCTTCCCGCTTCCCGCTTACCCCTTCCCCCCTCCCCCCCCCCCCCCCCCTCTCTCTCTCTCTCTCTCTCTCTCTCTCTCTCCCCATCCCTCACTCTCTCTCTCTCTCTCTCTCTCTCTCTCTCCCCATCCCTCACTCTCTCTCTCTCTCTCTCTCTCTCTCTCTCTCTCTCTCTCTCTCTCTCTCCCCATCCCTCACTCTCTCTCTCTCTCTCTCTCTCTCTCTCTCTCTCTCTCTCCCCATCCCTCACACACACTCTCTCTCTCCCCATCCCTCACACACACTCTCTCTCTCCCTATCCCTCACACACTCTCTCTCTCCCCATCCCTCACACACACTCTCTCTCTCCACATCCCTTACACATGCTCTCTCTCTCTCTCCCCATCCCTCACGCTCTCTCCCTTGATGCCTTTCCCTCTGACCCTCTCTCCTCCTATCCCTCATACTCAACTTCCAGCAGTGTTGTTCTTTGGAAAGGGTGGTGGTCAGGGCTGACGTTTCAAAAAAAGGCACTCTGATTTTGCCCCCCAAATTTTTTCCCGAGTCTGAAGGGTCATTTTTCAAAATTTCGATACTCTGAAATGTCAGTGTCCAAGATTTAACGAGTCTGAAATACTCAGGGTTCAGAATGTCGACTCAGAGTCCTGCGCCCAAGTCGAATCTTGTATTTGCAGAGTTCACACCAGGGTCTCAGATTCGTTTTATGGAGGCTGATTGCTCAGGCCTGCCCTTATGAGGACCCATTTTTGTTAGGGTAGTTTCTATTTGATTGCCTAAAATTTCAGGCGGAATTTTCCGTAAAGCTGACGAATCAGGCCTGGGTTTTGAAACGTGCTGTATCAGTGACGATGGCTGCACTTCGCCGCGTAATCGAAGGAAAAGTTGTGTTCTCAGGAACTGCCGAAACCCCACCAACTTGCTGTATCCGCGCAGTTTGTGCTAACGACAAATCACGTCCCTCGCTCGCGCCTGCTCTAGCCTTCCTCGGGCAACCAACGTGATACAGTACTTGGTCTAAGGACCAGTCACACTCCTCATAATTTCTCCTAGGTACAGTGCCTCAGACTTTTGCGTGATTTTGGTCTGACAGCCAATCACAGCCTCACACCTGCTCCGGGTACAGCGAAGCACGTCGAAGGACAATGCGTGTACAGTACAGCAGCAGGGAGTTTGTCTGTGATGGGTCCTTGCAAGTGTGTGATTGGTTGTTGAGGGACTTGTGCCACCCGCTCAGAGGACTTGACAAAAAAAATCAGGGGAAAGGGGGTGCGGGGAGAATGTCTCTAAACATGGAAGACTTAGCCGATTTTCGTGGGTGTTGGGGGTGTTAGAGGGGTGTCTCTAGAACAGGACTTCAATGGTTTTTATGGGCTTCTGGTTGTGCTGGGGGGAACTGTCTCTGGCTGCTAGGACTTAGCCAGATTTTATAGGTTCCGGGCGGGGTGTGTGAAAGGACTTGACTCTGGCCGTTGGGGATTTGGACGAAAATCTTGGGTGAGGGCAGGTAGGTATGTCTGTCTCAGGGTCCGTACGCGCTGTGCTCTGAAAACTCAGTATCCACAAACTGCCAAGTCTGAGATTCTCAGGATTCAAAAACATATAACTCTGAAGGGTTCAGCATTCAGAAATTGGCAAGTCTGAAAAATCAGGATCGGCAAAAGAATAGGTCTGAAATTTCAGACAATCAGACTAGAATAGTCTGATAAAATCAGGCCTGGTGGTCGTCGATGTACGGGACCGAGGGTCGACGCAAGGCATCTCTATATGGCACCTGCCCTGTACATGGCTCTATCTCAAACGCCCCCTTTAGCCATACTCATCAGCCGGCCTCTGGATAGGATTTGAAGCACTCATTTTCATAAGCCCACCCCCGCCAAGGCACTTTTTCTTGTAAGGCTAAATTTTTTGGATAAGCTTACGTATAAGGGTCCTACAAAAAATCGCTCTTCAACGTTAGGTTAGAATCCAACTGTGGGCTTACACCGCGGACGAGAATTAAGATGGTAAATTCACGCAACATACTTGGCGGTAGATGTGATGTTTGTGATGTCATGCGCTGTGCCCTCGGCTGGGCCCACTCCGCAACGGGCGTCAAGGGGCTTGTTTGTTTGCTACACCGAAGTTGGCGAGGACTCTTAGAACTGAATAATAATGACTAGAGAACCTAGGTACAAGGAGATATGTCTAAGGGTTATACTCGCTAAGAGGTGACCCAATACAGTCTATACAAACATTAGAGATACAAATGTTTGGCACACCCCCTAGACTGCATAGGGGCAGTTCCTGAACAAGCAGCTCAGGGTAGCACTACTAGTCCAGCCACTGAGACAAGGGTCTAAAGACCAGTCAAAAGGAGTACAGGCAAGGCAAGAACAAGACCAGGGCGGCACTACTAGTCCCGCCACTGGGAGAAGACACAAGTCCAGTCTGAGTAAATATATATAAAGGACAGTACAAAGTCAAGGCCCTAGCAAGTGAGGGGCTACAGGAACTAGACCGACATGTACACAGTGCCGCTGATGATCTTTAGGCGCAAGCGCCTTTGTAAAGATATCAGCAGTGTTGGCATCTGAGGCCAGTGAGCAAGAAGGTCAGCCAGCGGAGCTCCTGTGCCCCCATGGCACAGGCGTAGATCTCGGCCTCACAGCTGAACTGGGCAACAGACGAGGAGCGGGTAGCTCTCGACGAGACGGCACCTGAACCAAGGCTGAAACAGTAGCCCTGCGAGGACCTGAGGGTCTCGGCGTCGTCTGCCCAAGAAGCGTCTGTGTGTCCAGTAAAGACCACTGGCCCACGTCCTCCTAGCACTAACCCCATGCCCGATGTACTTGCGAGATAACGCAAAACCCTCTTAGTGGCAGACCAGTGCTGCGGTCGGTGTCTACCTGTGGCCACAAAGCGAGCCAGGATGCTGAGAGGGTATGCGAGATCTGGGCGAGTGCAAGTCATCAGGTACATGAGGCAACCCACCAGCTCTGCATAAGGGCCACTTGGCTCTACTGACTCCTCAGGAACTGAAGCGGAGAGTCTGTGGTCTACAGACAGAGGGGTGGGCTGTGCGGAGGAGAACTGAGGGCCGAACCTCTGAAGGACCTGGCGCACCAAGTGTGACTGAGTCAAAGTGATGGTGCGTGCTGCTCTATCCCTGGAGATCTGCAAATCAAGGTAACGGCGCAGTTCTCCAAGGTCAGTGCAAGTGTGTCTCTTCAGCAGCTCTGTCTTCAATGAGGCTAGTGCGTCCCTGTCTGCTATGGCAAAGACCAGATCATCCACGTAAACGAGGTTGTAGAACGGAGTCTGGCCAGTACGAACTAAGAATGAGGGGTCTGCGGAGGACGGAAAGAACTGCAGGTCAGCAAGGGTAGCACGCAGCGTGTCGTGCCACTCACGGGGAGCCTGCCGCAAGCCATAGATGGGACGCCGCAGGAGCCACTGGGTCCCAGGAGGGAAGGTGCAAGTGAAACCCTGAGGGCGATGCAGGTAGACCTGCTCGTGTAGGCTGCCCTTAAGAAACGCAGTGGAGATGTCGAGGGAGTGAAGCTCGTAGTCACGCTGGGCAGCTACATGTAGCAGCACCCGAAGAGTAGTCATCTTCGGGGTCGGAGCGAAGGTCTGGAAGAAGTCCAACCCCTCACACTGACTGAAACCTCTAGCCACGTAGCGCGCCTTGAAGACAGGCGGCTCTCCTGGAGGGCGCTTCACCTTGAAGAGCCAGCGGCTATCGACTACATTCACCCCAGGTGGGGGAACTGCGTCGACGTAGGTGCCGGTGGATCTCCAAGATGCCATCTCCTGCTCCATGGCAGCTATCCACTGAGAGGCCCAAGGTCCCGAGGTCGCCTCAGCGTAAGTGCGAGGGGTCGGGATGTCGAAGGCGTCTGGATCACCCTCAGGGACTAGCAGCATGGAACAGAGATGGGGAGCAGTCTCAGACAGCAAAAGCAAGCTCGAAGTGGCAGTCCTCCAAGACGTCACTGCCGAGGGCAGGAGCACCCCCGACAGACGGAGGACATGCAGGGTCAGAGACTAGATCGGTGGCGTAGTCAAGGCGGCGGGTAGAGGCAAAGTCAGTGACCGCAGCGACAAGAGCATCAAGACATGAGACCGGAACGGACGGGTTGGTAATGAGAGAGGCGAGGACCCGAGGATCAAGAGGACGAGCAGCACGACGGTAGTCAGATAGAGGAGGAGGCACAACGGTAAGAGAGGACGGAGGAGGCGACAGTAGAAGGGGAGGACGAGACGCGTGGGAACGGAGCAACATAGGGTGAGAGCGGGGGACAGGGGAGACAGGACGAGCGCGGGAGGGACGGCGGGACCAGACATGAGACGGAGGCGTCGGGTTAGGAGACAGAGGAGGGGATACAAGGGGGGAGCTAGGGGGAAGACGAGCTGGGGACGAGTCTGGCGGAGGGAACACGGGGCCGTAGACAAGAAGAGGAGGAGATGGCAGGAGAGGAACAGACGCAGGGTCAGGGGACGGAAGGCTGAGCAGGCAAAGGGCAGACACCGGTGGGGACTGCTGCTGCGGCGGCACAACAGCGACGCCGGGACCGCAAGCTGCTCCTCGGCTACCTCCGGGACACTCGACTCCTGCACCCCCTGAAGGAACACTCCCAGAGCCCGAAACCCCTCGAGCACTGGGACCATCCCCAGGGCCACCGGGACAGGCCACGACAGGAACCCCAGGACTAGCACCCACCCCAAAGCGAGCACCCCCAGAGTTGACGAACTGCTGCTGCGACGGCGGCGGCGGAGACGACGGCTGCGACAGCAGAGGTGACAGCGGCTGCAGAGGCGTTGGAGGAGGAGACAGCTGGAGAGGGGCAGACGGCGAGGAGTGCGCCGCAGGACCACCAGAGTCAGAAGACTCCTCAACCGGGACAACCGACGGGAGAGGGGTGACGTGGGACACACCAGAGAGGGCAGGACGGGGAGGGGGAGGGGGGGGGGGCAGGGACCACCGGGGAAGGAGTGACCAGGAACAGGGGGGGAGTAACAGGGGGACCGCGGTGGGGGAAGCGACGGTAGAAGGAGACGGACTCATCAAAGGTGACGTCGCGAGAGTGAAAGAACCAGTGAGACGGCGGGTGGTAGAAGTGCCAGTCGGACGAGTCAAGGGGGAAACCGAGGAAGACACAGGGAAGGGTGCGGGCAGTGAGCTTGTCCATGCCAGAGGTACGAACGTGAGCAAGGCAGACCCAGACGTGGAACGCAGACGCGTCACCAGGGGACCCGGTCCAAAGAAGGGTCGACGAAACCTGCGGCCGCTG